TCAAGAAGAGTTACAAAGCCCCATATCCGACAGGTGCAGTGAGGGTGAGATGGCCTTTTTCCTCTGGACCCAGTGCCCCATCCCTAGGCAATCACTGCCACAGGTTTCTCACCTGCAACTTCCAGAGATCATGTTTGCAAACACACCCATCCACATGCAAATGTTTTGCTTTGTTTTCTTTGACCCCCACACAAATAGTAACAGACCAGTGCACAGCTCTGCATGTCACTTTCTTGACTGACCTTATCTTGGAAGTCATTCTGTGTTAATACACCAAGAGCCCCCTCATTCTTTTTGAAGCCCCTGTCGGTGGTATTGCACCGGGCAGTCTCTGGTCCCCTACCGCAGAGTGTTCCATTACTCACTTGAACCTTCGCCGCAATAAACGGTGCTGAAAGGTGTGGCCTGTCGGCAGTACCTCTGGACTGGGCTTTCCAAACAGATCTGGAATCCGCCCTTCTCCCGTCCCCGGCTGCAGCTGGGGGCCGTGCCACCCTTGCTATGGCCCGATGACCGCAGCAGTGTCCAGACGGGCCACCATCTCTGCCCCTGGGTCTTTGAGGCTCTTCTCCACACAGTGGCCAGAGGGGTCCTGTCAAACTGCCAGTCTGATCACGTCCCTCCACCATCAGAACCTTCCCAAGTTCAAAGTCCTTGGCTTGATCTGCAAGTCCTCACACCCGCCTGCCTCCCCCGAGGGCGCTCCCCTCCCACAGTCAGGCCTCCTGCCTCTTGCTCACCATGAGGCTTCCCTTCAGCTCCCTCTGCCCTCTTTGATCTCCTGTCTTTTATTATTCATCCTCTCCCTCACCCGCCTCTTGCCTCTTGCCTCTGGGACACACAGGCTGCCTGTCCATTTTCCAATCTACAAAGCACACTCTACCCCAGGGCCTTTGCTCTGGTCCTCCCTCCACCTGGAATGTCTTTTCTAGGCTAGCCACACAACTCATGCCCTCAACCTCCTTTGAGTGTCACCTTCTCAACAATCCTTTTGTCAGACAACCCTATTCATAGCAACACACACACACACACACACACGCACGCACGCACACACACGCACGCACACGCACGCACACACACACTCCACCCCTTCTCTGCTTTTTCTCCAAAACACCTCCTGACACTTGGTATCACCTCCTGACACACTCTATTATATTTATTTATTTTGCTTACTGTTTTCCTCCCTCCAGCAAAATGTAGGTTCCACAAGGGCAAGGGTTTTGGTCGGTCTGACTCATGGCTGACTGTGTCTCCCATGCCTAGGGGTGTGCCTGCCCGGCATAGAGTAGATGCTTCATAATTAGCCTGTTGAATGTTCACTAAATAAATAAGTACCTGCATAGATGAAGTCACTGTGTGTGTATTTCTTTTAAGAAATATCCCTAGGCCGGGCTCAGTGGCTCAGCCTGTTCCCAGCACTTTGGGAGGCCCAGGCGAGTGGATTGCCTGAGCCCAGGGTTCGAGACCAGCCCAGGCAACTTGGCAAGACCTCGTCTCTACAATAAATCATTAGCCAGGCGTGGTAGTGTGCGCCTGTAGTTCTGGCTACTTGGAAGGTTGAGGGGAAAGGATCAACGGAGCCTTGGAACGATTGCCGGAGCCCAGCAGGTTGACGCCGGGGTGGCTGTGAGCCTGCCACTGCACTCCAGCCTGGGCGACGGAGTAAGACTCCAACTCAGAAAAAGAAAAGAAAAGAAAAGACATATCCCTGGAAACTAAATTATTAGGTGATGGCCTATAAGCTTTTGTAATTTTGAAAATGGTCGTGCCAAAGTCACCAGCCGAGGCAGCCCAATGTGTGCTCCCACAGCATCTTGGGGGAAAGCGTCAGGGGATTCATTTGCCATTTCCCTTTTCCTGCCACGGGCTAGAGAAATCCTCAGCAGAGATTGATGGGACATCTTCGAGCAGCACTTCAGCGCCTCCAGTGTCGGCACTTGATGCTCCCAACCGTGCTGAGCGTGGTGCTGGTCCCATTCTACAGGTGAGCACACAGAGGTCCAGGCTTGTGTGACTTGCCGAAGGCTCTGCTGGTGTTTGCTGCTGAGTGGGGCACGAAGCCATATCCCTGTGCCCCTCGTCTCGCACGAGCTTCACGGCCGAGGACAGGCGGTCACCCTGGACACTTTCAGGCCCACATCTGAGGGCTCATAAGAACCTCACGGTCTCCTCGCCCCCTCCACTGGTCTACAGGTCATTCATTCACTCAACAAACATGTACTGGCACCTTCTGTTTGTCCACCATGGATGAGCTTTGTGAATCTAGGCCAAGTGGGCATGGTGGCGCACGCCTATAATCCCAGTACTCGAGGTGGGAGGATCGCTTGAGCCCAGGAATTTAAGACCAGCCTGGGCAACACAGGACGACCTCATCTCAACAAAATATCAAAAAA